CTTCTCTGCTTAGCACTGGTGAAGTCACACCTGGAGTGCTGCTCTTGTCAATATGTGAAAAGTCCAACCTCCCTGCCAGAGCAGGATCACCCAGAGTAGGTCACACAGGAATGCATCCAGGTGGGTTTTGAATGTCTCCAGAGAAGGAGACTCCACAACCTCTCTGGGCAGCCTGTGCCAGTGCTTTGTCACCCTTACAGTAAAAAAGTTTTTCCTTATGTTCACATGGAACCTCCTATGCTCCAGCTTGCTCCCATTGCCCCATATCCTGTCATTGGACATCACTGAGAAGAGCCTGGCTCCTTCCTCCTGACACCCACCCTTTACAAATTTATAAACATTAATGAGGTCACCCCTCAGTCTCTTCTTCTCCAAGCTAAAGAGACCCAGCTCCCTCAGCCGCTCCTCATAAGGGAGATGCTCCACTCCCTCAATCATCTTTGTGGCTCTGTGCTGGACTCTCTCAAGCAATTCCCTGTCCTTCTTGAACTGAGGGGCCCAGAACTGAACACAATATTCCAAATGCAGTCTCACCAGGGCAGAGTAGAGGGGAAGGAGAACCTCTCTCGACCTACTGACCACACCGCTTCTGATACACCCCAGGATGCCATTGGCCTTCTTGGCCACAAGGGCACATTGCTGGCTCCTGGTCATCCTGCTGTCCACCAGGAACCCCAGGTCCTTTTCTGTTGTGCTACTCCCCAACAGGTCAGTTCTCAACATATACTGATACATGGGGTTGTTCTTGCCCAGGTGCAAGACTCCACACTTGCCCTTGTTGAATTTCATTAAATTTCTCCCTGCCCAACTCTTCAGCCTGTCCGGGACGCACAGGAGGCTCCTTCTGAACATCAGGAAACACTTTGCCTGTGAGGGTGACTGAGCACTGGCACAGGTTGCTCAGGGAAGTGGTGGATTCTCCATCCTTGGAGATACTAAAAAAACCATCTGGACATGGTCCTGTCCAACCAGCTCTAGGTGGCCCCGCTCAAGCAGGAGGTCTGGACCAGTTGGCCTCCAGTGGTCCCTTCCCATCTCAGCCCTTCTGTGAGTCTGTGAAAGTGTCTAGTCCTTAAAACTATTAAAATAGTAACCTCACATGGATATTATTTTTACAGTGATACTGTTGACCTACTGTCTGTTGTTTTAAAGTCTTTGTGAAAATACTACTTTTTAAAAAAGACCTTAACTTGCAGTGGTTCTGAGCAGGAAATTTTAGTATACAATAGGCTATCTTATGTCTAGATAAGATAATGATTAACTTTCACAAAATTTCCATTTTTGACACAGTACCTTTTCACACAGTCTTTTCCTAAGAGGACATGAGTTACTTTGATAACTCATACAGGAGTATGAGTTACATCAGGATTACTGATGCTCAAAGAAAGAGTAAAAACTTCTGAATGAGCATGTTCCCCTCCTGTAACTTAATTGCTTGAATATTCAGGAATCAACACAGTATTCTGAAAGAAATTATTTCTCAGTTTTTCTGTGAAATTAAAGAGTTTGTATTTTATTACTGGTGGAAGGTTCAGCATGGTGGAAGGTTCGGCAGTGGTAGAACTTTAAGCTGAAGCCTCAGGTCAAATCCTTGAATAGAGATGAGTGTGACCGTTTTGTTCTGCAGTAGCTTTCTTTTGAGATGTGAACAGAAACAACTTTTTAATTCCTTTAGAGGGAGGAGGGCAGGATGTATGCTAGCCCGTCTAGTGGAATTTTAACTAGTCCTTAAAGACCCTCAAGAAATCATAGCAATAGACAGGCAAAGAAAAAGTTTACATGGAGCTGAGTGATATTGGTGTGGCACTTCATTATGATAAAGTTGTATTTATGAAATTCCATGTGGTAAAGAGATGGTGAGGACATAGTACATTTAGATGTACTAAAAGTGTCTGAAGCTCTCCTATGTGCCTTACCTTGCCTGGCAGGCTTAATAGGAGTGATTTCTCCTGTTAATGGTTGCTCTTACTTTTCTAGAGCTTTCATCCTTTGGGCTTAAGGTGCTTGTGATTGCATTCTTCTTGAAACTGAATGTGTATGAAAAATAGTTCAACACCATTAGAAGAGATTGAGAAGTGTTATTTAAAAACTGCCTTCCAGAAAGCACAAATAACAAAGAGTACTTGGGTTTTGTTTTTTCATTGTTGTTGTTTCAAGACATTTTCAGCCTGACTTGGTAAAAATCAAATAGAGGAATAGCCTTCATTAAGACTAAATGCTTTTAGGTGTAAAATGTAGGAATTTTAATAATAAAACAGTTTTAAAATCCTTTACTGTTTACGTACAGGTCTTCTATGAATAATCTTAAGATAAGAAGCTTCTGTGTGTGTAATAAAAGTGAAAAATGAAAAACTAGTGAAAGAAAGTGGTAAAGTAGAGGTTTTTAACTTCATTCAAGATATAGCTTACAAGCAGTTGTTAAAGCAAGAACTGCCCAAGACCAGTGAAAGAAGATTTGGTTTTTTTTCCAGAATACTGGTTCATGTAAAATATGCTTGCACCTTGGACGAGACTTGACTTTGTAAAAGCATGATTGATGTTCATAGGCTTTGTTTTGCACTGTGCTTTCAGGATCCTGAACAATGTGTTCTGTTGCAGTCTGTCTTGCATGCACTATGTGTTTTTAGTGATTGTACGAGCACTGATTTTCATCATCATACTCGCCTATTCGCATTGCAAGTTTGCTGTTTGAATGTTTAACTCCTGTACTTGAAGAGATAGAATATTTATGGCATACAAGTGCTTGGTTCCAAGTTTAAGATGTGCTTAACCATCTTTGATACCAACCCAGATCTCAATATCATGTTTATCCATGTTCCAACAGACCATTACCTTTTTGCATTAAAATTACTATGATAAGCTGAGTGTTATAAATAGACATTAACACTATTTTTATGTACACCTGAACAACTTTTGTGCAAATCTGAAAGATTGGGAAATTTCTTCCTAAACCACTTCCTTTTGTAAGAGTCAGTGTGGATGTATCAAATGCCAAGAAAAGATGCATAATAGGGATGCTTTTCAAGTATTTATGAAGAACTATTTAACTTCTTTCAATTGCTTAGTCAGGAAGGGAATATGTTGTATGAATAGTTAAGATACTATAATCCAGAAATTTTTTATTTTCATGTATTATTTTGATGATGGTGGACAGTAGAATGTGTATTCCTGAACCTGCGCAAGATTGTTAACTTAATGTGGATCTCCTGAAGTGTTACCTTGTTTTGTAGAAATAGGTAAACTTTGTTTCACTGGAGGCGTCCCTTTTTTGTAAAGAATTGTTCATCATTAGCCTTCTAGCAAGAGTTACGTTGTGTCAGTGTCACTTCAGTATATTTAGGAACATGAGACATGTTACATCATTTAAGTCTTGAAAAAGCTGAAGGTTTACATAGTGTTTACAAATATACATGTGTTACACATACTGTCCTAGGACATCTGTGTGTGCTATAGTCCTGTTTCATATAATGCTATGTACTTGTACTGAGTGAAGAGTTGTGTCAGAGAGGCCTGAATTGTAGAAAGCTTGCTGTAGCAATGGAGCACAGAAAACGAAAATAATACACAAGGGAATAAATCACTTGAGGGATTGAGCATGTTGGTGAGAGGGTAATGTTTGAAGATACCTGCTGACATACCTAAATTTTACCAAAACTTTCTTCAAGTTATCTAATAGTGCAGGCTGTTTATTTACAACTTGCTTTCCACATGAAAACTACTTCACACAATCTATTCCTTCATTTAGATAGAAGTATTAAAAGCTGCAGCTTCTGGTGAAGTCAGTGGTAGTATGAAAACTGCAAAGGATGAGGAACTTGAATTGCAGTAGGTTTTCAGTTCTACCATATTGGATAACACTCAAGCCTCTGGTGGTTCTCCAATGTTCTTGGCATTGAAGCATAATGTAATAAGCTTTTTGTCCTCTGCCGCAAACATTGAGATTGACCATGGAAAAATGTAAGTATAAAGAGCAACTCCAGTGATCAGTTTGAGTCTTACTCTGTCTAGACTACTAAATTAAACATGCCTGGAAACTTTCCCTGATGCTTAGGGCCAGCTGGCACAAAATGACCTGTTTGTGCTGGTGTACGCTCACTCAGTAAAGCAGAGGCTGCATGCAAACTGTCTCTTTGAAGGGTTCTCAAACCTTTTCATTGCTGAATAGTGCCTGGAAATTGGCTGGGAGACTCCTGGTTGATGTGGGCCAAAAGCATGCCAAGGAATATTTTAACAAATTACTGTTAGTCTCTCTCAGCGATGGAGAGCACTTCCCGACCTTGCCTTACTTTTCTTCTCACACTTTCTCTTCCTGTTGGCAGACTGGTCAAAGAATAAGCAGACGTGAGAAGAGACGCTTCTAAACTTCTCTGTCAAAGCAGCACTACTTCACTTAGTCTGGTTTATTGCTAGCTTGTATTTCTGGAGGAATGTTGGAGAGGCAGGTAGAGCCCAGGAGGAATGTTAAGAGCGTTTCAGATGTCCTGCTGGCTTACAAGAATCATGTGATTTTACTGAAAGGTCTCAAAAGGTTCTTTTGTTTTAAAAAGGCTCTATCAAATGCTATACTAATTTGAGTATTTTCAGAAAAGTTTCATGTTGTGATGATAGTGTATAATAAAGGGAGGAGTTGTTTCAGGAGTACAGTGTGAAAGAATGTTTAAACGAGATAAGTAATTGACTTCTGTAACATTTTGACAAAATACAGGGAGAGGACTGTAGGTTTGGTAGATGCTCCCAACTTAGAAGAAATTTACGAAGATAGTGTTTTGTTTTAATATACAGGCATTATTGATTTGCGTTGCTCTTGTGTGAAATGCTTTATTTTACTGAACACTTTTGTCAACTACCAACCACTGTCTGCTTAGAGTGTTTACTAGATGAGCAATGAGCACAGGTTTTATAGTCTGTTCTTAAAACTTCCTAAATGCCTTGCCCAATGCCCTCAGTTAGTCTTTTATAGCTTTATTTTACATGTACGCTTCTGTCTTCTGTTTTTACAGAGGATGACAAATAGCAGCAGCTCCCCTAGCCTTCTCAATGACAGTGCCAAGCAGTATGCAGGCCATGGTAAGTACTTTTAAACTAATTCTTAAAAAAGTATGTTTGGAAATTTAAGAGATTCACTTTCACAAATGAGACTTAAGAGAGGTTTCTTTCTTTTCCTCCTCTGATTTGATTTGAGATGCAGTAGAACTTTATTTTTTTAACAAGAATGTATTGTGTGATTACTTTTAATACAAAGTGGAAGTGCTACTAATAAATTTTCAGCCTTCTTTTTGCTCAGTGGGAAAAAATGGAGTCGTTATCAGTCTTGTCACTGCAAGTGAAATGCTAGTTTGGATATCCACTGTAAAATACTGATAGCTTGAGCATTTATGTTGCTCCACAATAGTATCCCTTGTTATTGTGCTTTTCAAGTAAGTTATTGTGTGAAATGAATGTATGGGTTTTTATTCTTTATTTAGGGTGTATGGGTTTTGTGAAATGTATTGCATAACTGATGATCTTTAATAGCTATTAAGTTTTGTCCCGTACGCAGTACTTTACCTCTTACTCGTTCCCCTTCTATAGAGAACGTGGTTTTCAACTGAACAAAACATCTCTATAATACAGACCTACGTACTTACTAAATTATTGTGGAGGGCATATTGAACTTCTGTAATACACTTTTCAGAATCACTGCAGATTATTTCAATTGTAGCTGTCAAACTGAGCTCTTTAAAGAAGAGGCTACTACTTCCTTATTACAAGGGCATACATTTAAAATATATTTCTGCTCAGAAAATTGTAGTGTAAATAATGTTCTAGAACTCTATTTGCATGTCTGACCTTGCAGCTATCTCCTTACTAGGATTATTATTTTTTAAGCATGATAGTAACTACTATAAAATTAAGTTGCTTGAAAGTAAAAATTTGTGTGTTTTTTCTATTCATTTTTTTTTCTTCCTCCTGGTTAATTTCCAGTAGGTTTTGTGATTAATTCTACTTCTTTTGTCCCACTGAACAATTAGGTATTGAAGGCAGTAGAGGTCTCCAGTTTTAAAAGCAGTCAGAGTTTGGCTGTGACAGGCCAAATAGTGATGTTGATGCATGTGAAGGAGAGAAACCAGACTGACTTTTTTGGAAATCAGTTTAAATTCTGTTGTGTCTTAGGTCCTTTTCTTCCTCCTCCTCCTGCTCCCACCCAAACTGTGCTTCATTTGTAGAATTACCCTTTTCAGAAGTATTGATTAATGTTGAAGAAAGTGTGTCATCAAAACACCAACATTTACAGCTGGCAGTAATCTGCTAATTTGACAGCTCTGCCCATGTTGTTTAGAGTTTTAAGTTGCATTTGTGATTATTATTCCATTTTTGACGCTTCAATTCTGGAAAGGTTGCACAGGGCCAAAGAAAAAGCAATAAAATAACAAGATACAGAGTCTTGCTACACTTAGTTCTGATTTAAATTTGTACAGAACAGTGACAGGACAACTAAGATCTACATCATTATTTGTAAGACTGTTATACAGAAGATTGCTAATTTTGGGTAACTGAAGATGAAGGCTTTGAAATGTTAAATGGATGTTAAATAGTATCAACAGCAATGGGACTTAGTTCTGCTAACGAGCACCATTTCAGTTGAGCAGTTCCACAGAAGCTAATAAATGCTGTGGGTTTTAGCACTATGGTTGCTAAACTTACTTTTTGTCAAAAGGATGTTTTCCATACAGAAATAAGTTATAAAATGTAAAATTTTTTTCTAGTATTAGAGAGATATAACATCGTTTTATATTATTTTTACAGATCCACTAACTTCACCAAATTCATCCTTGTTTAATGACTTTGCTGCTCTCAGCGTGTCTCAAAGGAGGAAGGTAAGCAACAACTAAATCTTAAGTAGCTTATTTGTATATGAGTTGACAGGCAAGAAGATCTGGAATAACTTGAAACACTGGGTGAAATAAGGATGATTCTCCTAATGTTCCTAGATTTATTTTAATATGTTGCTGCTGATATAAATAAGATCTTACTACTTTATTTTTGATATACCAGGTCAGACTGCTGCTGCTATTAAGAAATATCCCAAGCACTTGAAAACTGAAGTTTATAAGAATGCTTTGAATATTAAAATTAGGACATAGCTCATTGAATTTGAAAATGAATTATATTTATTGTACTGAGGCACAAGCCATCTGCAAGCATTCATGGCAACAAGTTCTGAATGCATTAAGAATCATTCCCGTCTTTATTTGTACCTGATGTGAAAATAATTGTTACAGCTTGTGAAATGCATTTAGTTTGAGAGATACTGATATTGTTGGAAAGCTAAAGTTTGGGATTTTTACCCCTCTAATCTGTATTGGGAAATCTTTCTTTTGCTGAGGGCTAGACAGCATCTTCAAACACCTTTGAGCTGTGCCAACACAGGTTGTGATGTTTTCCAATTACACACTTATAAATATAGTGGCTGGAATAAGACAAAAGTTTGGTTACACCAGAGTTCCCTTTCATTTTTGTGAAGTGTGGCATATCAAAAAAGACATTATCTTGTTCCAACTAGTTACCAAATTTTACTTTCACTGGTGACTTTCATGTTTTATCCTTTTCTTGTTAGCCACATGGTCCTGAACTTCCCTGTAGTTGATAATGCAGTCTTGAAAGCAAGCTACATCGGCATTCTTGTGACTTTTTATAGAGCTTCATTTGTGTTTTGGCAATTGGAGCTCTGTATCATTTCTGCAGGTGAAGATTGAGCTTAGAGACAATTACCACAGTTGGCCCATCAGACTAACGTTCCTTGAAATGAAATACTGTTGTAGAATGTTAATTTTCTAATATTATGATGTATCCAAACTACATGGAATCTCTGAATTGCCCTTTTCCTTAATGCTGGTATAGCGCACTGAAAGTTGGATGTGAACAACTATAAAAGTGTTGTTTATCTTCTTACTGAGGATAGTAAGAACGAACATTTTTAACACATTCCTTTTTAACATAGTGTGCAAGCAGTATACATGCACACATATATGTATATACCTATGCGTGTGTGCGCTTATGTATAAACCACATGGACCAAAGAAAGTGAATTGTCATACATAAGTATTGCCAGAGTGACCACTGCCTCTTAAAATGACTTCAAAGTTAATTAAACAGTACAAAATGGAAATAAACCAATTAATGCTTGAGTGTAAAACTCGGGTAACTCAAAGCTCAAATATTAATATAGAGTCTCTTCTGACTTGGTCCCTTTTTTCCCCCCAAGAAAAATATCAGCAAGTTAAGCCACTCAATGCTGAAATAGTATCAAGAGAGAGATTTATCTGTGAAACTTGTTGACTTGGATTTTTTCCAATTAATGTTTCAGACATTACTGGCATTAATTGAAATAGGTTTGTGTTTTGCTTCACATGTTAATGATTTATTATGACTGTAGTTTTGTAATGTATTCTTGTCTAAAATGTTGTTAATACTAGTAACAGGAAAGTTTTAATCTAATATTACTTGAACTGCCTAAAAACTAGGCATCTAGGCTCCCTCTATAGTTAGCAGAGAGAGATGAGAGGCTTAAAGAAACATTCAGCTCACACTGAGAAAAATATTTTGGTAAAGACTAGATGTCAGTGAATGCTTTAAGTGGATAAAAATTGATGGCTGAAGTTGTAAGAAATTAATCATACTTTTGTGACTGACTGCATTTTACTACCAGACAATGCATTGCAAATAGTCGTGGATGTAGTTTCTTAATATTTTTATTATTTTTTGAATACAATATTCAAACTGTATTAAGTGATTTCCTCAAAAGCATTAAATACTTAGTGCCAGGTATTTAAAAACTTGTGTCATTTTTCCACACCACAGTACGTAGGGTTTACTTAGCGATGTGTTTTAGCAGGCCAGAGCTTGATGCTTGCTGTAGCACAAGATAGCCTTCTAGAAGTGTATGCCTCTGTTCATTGACCCTAAAGGGAGCCTTTGTGACTAGCTTAAATGTAGGTGTTTACAACATCTGTTATTTGAAAAAAAACTTTCCATTTTCTTGATAAGTTTTTGTTTGTTCTGAACTAGCTGGCAAAACCAGCGTTTCCTTCTTTTATCACTGACTTGGAGGACAGATACAATACAGTCTTGGTAAGTGAATAAAGAGCAGTTGCTTTCCTTTACAAATTAGAATTGTGATATTTTGAATATTTAGAACTATCAAGTTATTTGCAACTGCGTAAAAGCTGCATGTTTGTCTTGTGTAAAACCATGAACAGTTTCTGTAAAAGCATGTAATATGTAGCTGTGTTAAAGAAGTTAAGTTTATTAATCTTTATTATCAGTGGGTATTGTTGATCATGTAATCCTGGCAGCCCTTTAACACTGGGCAAGCTATATGGATGTAAATATTTGGTACCAATAAAATTTTAAAGATAAGACTTGATGATGGTAATTATGAATATCCTTGCTTTCTAATCAGACAGCTTTTTTTGAAACTAGTTAGTATGACTGGGCTACTTAAGTTGCTTATGATTATTTTGATGTTTAAAGACATTCTACTTTTTGATTAAAAAGTAAACATAGTCCTTGAATTCTTATGAACATTCTTGAGGTTATTTTCTCTGTTTAGAAATTATTAAACTGCATTTCAATTTTAGATTTCAGGAAAGCTAAGATTACTATTTAAAGACATTTTTATAGGATACTTAAAATGAAATCAAAGGAGCTAAGTATTTCGGTAGATGGAGCCTTGGTGGAGGTTCTGTCAACTGTAAAATCTTCTGGATTTACTGTCCGGTTGTTGTAACTCCACATGCAGTAAGACAAGCAACCTTAAAGTGAATTTCCTATAAGAGATTTTCAGGTAAGTATTAATCTACAATGCACAAATAGGATTTGTGAAGCATGGAACAAAAGCTAGAGTTAGTATCAGACTAACCCTCTTTGCTGAGAATAATGATGTCACATTTATTTTATTTTTTCTTCAAATACATATATACTTGTTAAAAATAGAGTGACATTCTGAACTTGAACTTCTTGAGTGGTTTTTTCCCTAAGTTTACTGTTATCTACAAAAATGCTCTTCTCTAAACCCTGAAATGATCTGGCTGGAAAACTCCTTGCATACATTTTGGTGGTTCTGGTAAACAGTTCATAAAAACACTTGCCAACATAACTGATCAGAATCTGTTGCCAATGGAATGACAGCTTAATGCACTGAAAAGAAAATCTATGATTAAATTTTTGTTTACATTTGTTCTGAGACTGTTACCACTAATCCAGGCTAAAAGGTTCCCCTACTTGTCACTGGTCAGCCTTACAGGATAGTGAAAAGCATTGCTTTTACATTTTGCTTTGTTCTTTTCATACCTTCAATCCTCATGAAAACTGAACTCTTCTGAAAAGTTCCTAGTATCGGTTTATTTCCATTTCATTTTTTAAATCAAAAGTCACACCTAGAGGAGGGCCATTAACGTGAGAATCACAGGCTGCAAGAAGTGAATCAGCTGCTGTAGGACTTTCAATACAATTTTAATGCTGGCTTGTATGTATTTTGAAGAATTTATTTTTTATTTTTTCCTTAGAGCTCCTTCCATTGTGTTTAGGTGACTAAAACCCAGGACCAAAAGACTCAAAACTACATTAGAATGGAAGAGAGATTATTTGGACTGAAGTCCACCCAGAACAGAGTGCTGCTGTTTGGTGCTCTCTGTGGAGATGTAGACTTCTTTAATTCATGTGCCTTGATCAGCAGTCAGATACAGAGAGAATTATTTTGAAAGAAAAGGCTGCCTGTAAGCCTAGTGTGCATAAATACAAACTTTCTAATGAGTACAAGGAGACTTTTGCTTCTAATGTTAAAAGAAAACAATAAAACTAACTCCAGGTCCTATGGAAACAAAATTCTTAACACCTCAATTATTGCTGGTTTTTTTTGTGTGTCTTGTCCTTCATCAGTTCTGTTACCTGTTGGGAAGCTACGTTTCTCTCCAGCTTCCTGTCTCCAGCTCTGTCTTGACACCTCTGATTCCCAGTCTTTATATTGTTCAATGGTGTACCATGTTTGGTCTTGCTGTGTTTACCTTTAATGAAAATGTGCTGATACAGTTGTTTTGTTGTCACAGCCTCCTGAATAGCATCTCAGAAGCATGTTCTGAGAAGCTGAGGGTTCATTACCAAACACCACATCATGTCACTGTGTTGTAAACTGCAGAATTATGGCTGCACAGATTTTATAATATACGTAAGCTAAATTTATAATTCAAACCTGATTTTTTTTTTCCTTCTGGGGTTATACACCCCTACTGCCATAATGAAACATCACAGTTTATTCTAATTTTTTAAAAAAAGTTGTTGCAGGAAAGTAGGAAAATAGACTATGCTTCTAGAGAAAATGAATAAATGTTTATAGGTAGTATGGTGTTTACTGTGGTCTAGAAAGTGCTTTAAAGGTGTGATATAATCTAACATTTTTTACTTTTTTTCTTTGGAATAGTTAGTTATTGGAATTGTTCCTTGGTTGTGTGCCTTTCTTGTCTTAGTATGATATTTTTCATTTTTGAGTGTGACATGAGAGAATACATTATTCACATTCAGTTTTGTGTACGGATTAGTGATTGTGTTACATAAGAAATCAAATTATTAAGGCACTTCCTTTTAGAAATATGTAATATTTTTACATTGATGAGGAGTCATCATCATTCTGTTGCATCATCCTATTCTGTAATTGAAGGAAACTATCAGAATAAGATAACTGCACAGTGCAGCACTTGCCTTAGAACTGACCTTTGCTTGTTTTGGTTTTGTATCTAAGCAGGTCAGAAATATTTTAAGATGTACAGACATCTAGAACTTTAAAAGCTACTCTTCTCATTTTTAAAACATAACTGTTCAGTTAGCTATCTAGACTTTGTCAGGTGTAGCTTACAAACTGAAGCAGTTAACTGCAAATGTAACTTTAATGTGCAAGATGCTTTAGTTTATATTTACAAGCTTTATTTGATTCTTTCTGTGCCAAGATGCATGTAGTCTTTAAGAATTATTTGAAGTAAAATAACTGAAATATTTTTTTATACTTGTGCACACATTTGTTGAAAACACTATACAAATATTTAAAGCAGAAAAAATACACAAGAAATCATGTGCTTAGTAAAGACAAAAGTTGCATCAGTCTTTAGTTCTTTTTTTACCTATATTTTTTTTTATAACTGTGAACATTTTTCCCCTATTTTTATAAGTAATATAAAAGCTTCTCACCCAAAAGAAGAAAATGAAAAATCTTCTTTTATAATGAAAGATAGCTTTGAAGGTTAAAGAAAACCTGTTGTTTGTTCACTGTGTGCTCCTTCAGCAGTAGAAGTTTTGAAAGTACATCTTGGGGTGGTGATACTCTGATAAGTCCTTGCAACACAGAACTATCTGCTCTAGAGATATTTCAATTCAGGAGGTGGTTTTAGTTTCGTAGTAAAGAACTTTGTCGGTATAGCTGCATCTGTGCTAGATTTTAGCTGTTGTGGTCATTCGTACCTCATCCAACCTAGCTAGGCTGCAAAACTGCTGAGAAAATATTTGACTTAAAGATATGTCAGTTTTTGTTAGCTCTTTCCGAACTCTTCAAAATTTTAGTGTCTTCAGCATATATACTCATGGAATGCACTTTTTTAGTGTGTACACCTGAAAAACTTTCCTTGGCTATGGTTTAAAATGTGTGATGTAATGCCTGATCTGTTACAGCTTTACTCTGATTAAACCAAGAATATTTTTTTTGCAGTGATCAAATATGTTGCTCTGGAATGAGACCTATTTCTATGCCAAATTGCACATTTTAATTTTCTTTGGGTAGAAGAATATTTTGTGTTTGTCTCTGGATGATACTTTTCAAGTAGTTAAAGTTTTATCCCCATCCAAACACAGGTTTTCATGAACAGTTTTAAAGAAGGGTTCCAGACGGGGCAGTGGCTAGTTCGTAAGTGCATGTAATAAAAATTTATAACTTTATAAACCTTAAAATTATAAACATATGAACATTTTACATGTTAGCATACTCCTTTTTTCATGAAAAAAAAACAACAAAACAAACTGCCACCTATCAAAAAACACCAGCCAACCACACACTTAATTCTTTTTAACCTGTTGTCCAGGTTCCTATTCTTTTTTTTTTTTTAGTGTGGATATCAAAGTGGAAAAAATGGTTCCAATATTCAGAAGCTAAGGTACAGAAAACAAGTATCATCTGCTTCTCTACAGTGAGAGATTGTAATGAAAGAGGAAGAGGAAAGAGTATCTTGGTTAGCAACAAACCCAAACCACATGAAGAGGTTTGTAGCTCTTTTGGCCACAAAGCTTAAAAAGTAAAGACAAGACAAATTCTCATTTTCATATTATTGGCTTGCAAATCTGTTAGGATTCTCTTGGCAACTATACCTAATATTCAGGTGTAACACCTTATATGACTTATTACTAAATCCAGTTCTGCAGGTGTGTTCATGATTAAGATGCTTTTTAGCTGATTGTGCCTGTATAGGGATTCTGCCTAGGCTATTGTGCTTTTCCTCAGTAGCATATTTAAGTTCTTACCTATAGCTGGGCATTTCAAGCACTCTTATTCCAGTTAATCTGTTATGGCTGTTGAGTGAAAGTAGCAATGATGATACCAATGGCTTGTAGTTAGCTTTTAGTTTTCAAGACATAATACCACAAAAGTGGGTTCTGTCTCAGAAGACCTAGCTGAGTGTTTAACCTCTTTGTCTACTGGTCTCTTTGCCACTAACTTCTTTTAAAAGAACCAAAGTCTTACAAAACAAGCCAACATTGAAACTTAAAATTACATAGAGTGCTTAAATTTGTTAGAAGTACTGCAAAGAAAACATGATATGCTATACCTGATCTTTCCTGTCTGGCAATGTTATGTTTATATTTATCTGTTTGTACATACAGATATAGTCAACTTGCTGTACAACAGATGAGCCCTAGCTAATGCTACTGTGATACCTTTTAGCTATGGTAATTTAAGGTAATGCTGCTTAGTTTAGCCTGTGATGGAGAAGGCTTAAGGTCACTTGCCTTTTCCTTCAGTAGTAAATTTGCCAGCTTATACAGACTTAAATATTACATAGAATTTATTAGAGAGGAGAAGTCTGTACAGTTTGACTATCCATAAACCTTCTCTTGTTTAGATTTATGCCTCTAGTATAGCCTTAGAACATCTTATACCGGTGGTGTATGTCCAGCTCTGAATTGGAAATAAGTGTGGCATTGCCCACTGTCCATGAAACAGGAAGAACTAGGGGCAAAAACACTGTTACAGCAACTAGAAAAAACATAGACTTAGTAAACATGTTCCCAAACTTCTTGAATGAATGGGAAGCAAGTAATTAAGCTGACTTGAGGAATATTTTCTAGCATGGGCTAATAAAGTTACTCATTTGTAGTAGTGTTCTAATGTGAAGATGCTACTCAAGAAGGACCTTTTTCTTTTTAGTGTGAATTTCTTTTGTTCAGGTGTAATGTTTCAGACTTCGGGGTTTTATCTTTTCTAACATAACAGCTTACCTCTAATTATGCCAACCAATAGCTTCCTATCATTAATTGCTGGCAGCAGCTTGGTTTTACAGGGCAAGGTATATAATTATTAGCTATGGTTGAAAATGCTTACCCTTCTCACCCTTCTAGCAATTAAATGTAGTTAACTGTTCCCTGACTCATGTAAACATTTGCAGCCAGTAGTTACTACTACTTCTCACTTCTTTGCCCTGAAGGAGCTGAACTCTTCCAGTAATACTTTGTAATAATTTGGTTTTGTTGCTTTTTTTCCCTTTCTCTTGCACTTAACTTTAATTATTGTAGTTTAACCTTATTTTTTCATTTAAAAATAATTGTGATGTTTTTGACCTTTCAGAACTCATTTGGAACTTGTAACCATATTGGGAGTTGCAACCTAGTTTGAGAAATACCTGCTAAATGATTATGAAATATTTAAATGCTTTAGCCATCTTCTTCCCCGCCCCTCAAAAAAACCCGAGTTCATTATGTTGAACTATCCCTTCATCTGTATGGCTGAACAGGTGTTTTTACCTCATGGCAAGACTTTAGGGAAGGCAAAAATGCAATTACTTTTGTAATAATCTAAGAGAAACTGTCCCCATGCCAAGAAGTTGGTTTTGGTTGTCTGGATTGTCATGCCTCTGTGTTTTAGGTAAATACATTCGTTTAGTTCAGATATGATCAGAGAATGTTGAATTCTTACTTGTTTCAAGATGCACTGTTCTGTCTCTTGCTTTATTTGCTGCTCGGTGTAGAAGGCAGTGATGTAGCAATGTTGATTTGCTTATGCAAACTGCTCAGTCTCAGCTTTACTTTCTGTTGAATCTCTCCTCTTGGTGGACACTTTTTTCTGTGTTTTCTGGTCTCCTGTAAACTCAGATTAGATTTCTGAATCAGGTGCCATTTTGCTCATTGAAAACAAATGTAAGTTAGAATGACTTTGATGCAAATAGTCTGAAATTTATTTCCAAATGTTAACGTTGTATTGGCCGTCTTCTAATGTCAGTCTGAACTATGAAATCCTGGCCTAGTAATCTGTTTGTGCTTATCGTATAGAATGAAAGTAAAATTTTGAAATAATCTTGCCCACTTTTTAGTTTATTTTTCTTTTCATACCAGTAGATGAACTACAGGTATAGGAACTCATATTGTCTCCGTGTTGCTTTATGGCATAGAACTGACCATTGTTCCTTCCCCTCCGGCCCCCCAGTATGGGCCTTTATAAAGCCTAACATACAGTTTAATTCTGTTGCCTGGAATCATAGAATCCCCTTGTAACCAAAATAGCCTCCCTCTATGTTGGCCCAGTGCCTCTTTTGTTTTTGTTCTCCTTTTCAAAATATTTCTAGATCACCTTTTATTATGGAGCATTAAAAGAACCTTTTATGAATAGGAACGTGATTGGACACTGGATTGTAGTCCAGTAGTCTTGCAGCAGACTGTGCCCCTGCACTTGGTAGAACATGGAAAGAGATGGGAAAGCTGCCAAGGAAACTGTTGCTCTTCCTTACACTATTTCCAACAGCCAGGCTAAGAAAAACATAGCACAATCAAACCCTGCCGTGAAGTCCAATGTTATTTGTATCTAGGGCTTCTCACACCTTACAACTTTGCACTTTATGATTCCAGTAGTACTTCTGAATTACTAAGTAGTTGAGTGATTCTCCCAATAAGCAAATAGTATTTAGCTCTAGTGTGATCAGTTTTCATTTGAACTATAGGAGGACTTTATGCTACCCATCACACAGTTTACCAAATTTCTCATTGGTACTGTGAAATTTGTTGCTGTTGGTTGTTATGAAACATGCAGTTTATTGCCTTCGTAGTTCATGCTCCATGTTGGGATCCTTCTGCTTTTTTAGACAAATGAGCTACTAGTGACTCTTTTGAGTTTTAATTCTTTCCAAAGCTTTCATCCTAAAATTTTTCAGGGAAGTAGAGGAGGGAATCTGTTTAGGTTTTGGTTTTGCAGCCATTTTATGATAGTTTTGTCTTGTGTTTTCCACATTATTATGTGTGAATGGAGAATCTTCTCCAGTTGGATTCTCACCTTGTTTCCTGAGGGACAATTGTTAAAATGCATATCAAGTTAGACATTGCTAAACTTTCTAATGTGCCAGATGAAGTAGATATCTGAGTAGAGGTAAGTTAAGTTTCGATGAATTGAAAAGTGGTCTAAAACCAGATAATGATAGTTCGATTTTCACAGCAAAAAAAATACAGCAAAAGAAGAACAGACCAACGCCTGAAATTTGGTCCAATTGTTGGTATAATTGGTATAAAAAGTTCTTGTCCAAATATGCATACATGATGAAATAGTTGGTTTTGTGGTACTTACTGTTGAGGTAGGTACGTGTTGGTTTGAAAGCACAGACAGATTTGGAGAACTTCTGTACTTCACTTGTTTGCAAGTCCTTAACAGATATTTTTACAGTATACTTTTAAAATTTAATGTTCATACCATGCTTTATAAGTAGTTTAATTTGTTGAGATCATTACCAGTGTAACAGAAATGTCACTTGTATTAAGGCAGAAGTACCTCCTACACATTCACTTCAAGCATCTTTTGTTTTCTCAAGTTTAAGTTGGTTTCCAATGCATTTATCGTGCCAATCCTTGTCTGTTTTCACTTAAGACAGTAAATGAAATTAGTCTTTTGTATATTAACTTGAGCAGAAATGTTTTTCTCATTGATTTCTGCAGCTGACTACTTAATTCTACTTGATTTTTTTAAAGCAAGTCTTCAGGAGATAAGTCTGAACAAATTAGAACTTAAAAAGAAGCGTACAAAAGCCCTTTTTAAGTTCCTGTTTGATAGAAACCTCGAGGGAAATGTTAGAGTTCAGTATTATGATGTGATTGAAGGTATCTATTTGAGAAATATGGATTTTTTTAAACAGTCATTCATTTTTACAGAGTTCCCCAGTTTGTGCTCATATTTCAGTGTCTGACTTGTGATGGATAGTTTTGCTTACAAATAATTAGTAGTCCCTGAAGTTTATTTTAATTTGTTTTTTAAAGTATTGTTTATTATAACCAATTAGTCAGGATTGAGAGGAAACAGTCTCGTATAAACTTTACTTGCAAATTGTTTCCTATTCCACCAATCCAGAAGTCATATCACACTGTTATACCTAATTTAGTGTAGCTTTAGACGAGGGTTGTTAGGAGTGGCCTGGTTTCTCTCCTTCTTTTTCGTAGCCCAGGAAGTATCGACTGGGGATGCTGGATGAGAGGATAGTTCCGGTGGGATCAAAAGCAAGAAAATCAAAGAACCCTATTGGCTGTCTGGCTGACAGGTGTAAAACAGGAGTACCCATCAATATGGTTTGGTGGAACAGAGTCACAGAAAACAATTTACAGGTAAAATTATTTTTTACTAGTTGCTTTTTCAGTATTTTTCATGCTTTATTTTAAATTCTGGAAAATGTTAGAAGCAGTTATTCCAAATATGAGTTGAGATCAGATCAAGTATTTATTTCACAAAGTAGATGTAGTGGCCCTGCAGGAGAGTGACTTGGAGATGTTTTATTCTTTTCACTCACTGCTGTGCTATGTACTCTGCTTGACTGTTATAATCTGTGGAGGAGGAGCAAAAGTGATAATCAAATGTACTCTAAAAGTAAACAAACACACACAACCGTTTATTTTCACCTTTCATGTGAGGAAGGCTTCCACTGATAAAATCAGTGAACTTTGTTTAAATGATTGATGCTTAATGCAAAAAAAAAACCCTAAAATTCTCAGTACAGAATTTGAATATGTAACCACCATGATCAGAAAGTGTAAACTCTCAACTTTCATACTGGAATAGTTTATATTTCTCAACCTGTGTGGTAAACTTTATTGTTACTTTACTACATTTCTGAATTTTCTACAGCTCCTTAAGAGAGGAGGGGTACAGCTTCATTTGAGCATCTCTGTACAGAATTAGCAGGTTATCTTTAGGATGATAACAGAAGGTAATTCTAGTGTAGGAAGAATCTGCTTTGTGTCCCATAAGATGGGGTTTAGATGGAAATTGTTATAGTGGTTGGAGCTTCAACACTACTGCTGAATGTTGTAGTGCTTTTGATTCTTCAGAGATCATTATTTTAGTCTTCCTATGAGGGTTATGTTCTTTGTGATGTTTTCTAAGTAAGTGAAATGAGTAAATTGACAATAGACTTAAAACTAGAATTTGTGGCACCTTAAGAGTTTTTCAGTTCAGGCAAACATGCTACATTGGCTAGGGACATTTGGGCTTAAGCCTACCTTGGCCCTTTTGCTGCAGTGGAAGCAGCGCAGCCACTGGTGGAGAAAAGATGAAGCATAAAGGTAGCATTGGTAGAAGGGACCAAGTTAGGTCGCAGAGATGTGGTTGGAACCTGTGAAGAACTTCTTTTCTCAAGGAAGAGAAGACTAACAGATTGAATTCGTGTCTCTCTAATGGGAGTGTAAACCATAACTGGCAGACAGTTGCTCTGTGGAGAGAGTCAGAAAACTGGTCTTTGAATTTCAGGTGGATGTTAAAGGGCAGGGAGAGCTCTGTTTGTACTCATGTCTCTCATTGTTTTCTCAGCTGTTCAGTGTTGCAGGAGGGTTTGTGATTGATCTACTCTGCTTAAAATAAAGCAGAAAAACTTAATGTTTCTGGAGGCTGGAGAACTAGTAGTCTGAGACTTGGAGGTTCTGCCCAGGAGCAATTATTTTTTCAGTACCTATGCCCTCCAAAGTTGTGTTGAAAGTATGGCAGTGAGAAGCTCAAGGTCCCCTAAGGGTTAGAGGCAATAGCTTGGGATTGGCTGCAGAGCATGTGGCTTTTGAAGGTTGCAATTCCAAGCTCCTTTATTGTGCCAGAATCCAACTACATAATTGAGTTAAATTGTGTACAGCATTTTTTTATTACCCAGTGCAATTACATAGGTTCCCATGGGATCATGGGACTTCAGAAAAGCATGTGTATGCATATCTGGTGGAAATAAGAACAGAAGGATCTTCTAGCCATAGGAAATAGTAAAGGAAGGGGGAGGGATTGAAGGACGAACAGTGTAGTCTGGCAAGAGTGAATGGGGAAAGGTGTAAAAACAGACTGCAGAGAAGATTATGAGGATATATGAAGTTCTGTATAGGTGAGAAACAGAATTTTATTTTGATGTTTTCACTCTTATCATTGTATATCATTGTATTGTAGTATGAGCTAAAACTAAGCTCAAAAAATGCTAAAATACTGAAAATTTAATTATAAAAGCACAAAAAATGTCTGGAAAAGTCTACTTAAAAAATGGGTAATTTCATGCTGAGATTTCAGATTGACCTTGTTTTTCTGCTTCAGTATCTATATAGTCCACAGATAGCATTGCTCTTAAGTATACTGAAATACAGACCATTTAGAGATTTTTTTTGCAGGTGTGAATATAGGTTAATCAAACTAAATTTTGGCTGATTGTGAGTACTAAGCACTAAGTAGAAGGGCTAAATTATGGTTGAGACGTCTGTTTGAGGGTATCTTTTTTTCATGCTTGAAGATGAAAAATCAAAATTGCATCTCAAATTTGATAAGGGCTCACGGTGCTGGGCAGATGTTGAAGCTCATGTGTCTGTTTGAATGTCCACTCTTCCAAATGCGTGGTTTTAGAGGTGGGAACACACTATTTCATGGTGCAATATTTAGAGAGTTTTGTCCCAAAAGCAGCTGTTTTAATAACAAAGGTAATTTACAACATGCATTGTAAAACAGTGTAAGTGTTCTTCTTGCATATCTATGAATGTATAGTCCGGATCTGTTTACTTAAAATACTGTGTTACACTTCTATGATTAAAAGTGGAGTCCACAGAGTTAATTGCATTCTGGGTTGTGCATTTAAAAAGCAAAAAATCCCTCAAAATCACAGTTTGTTCTTCAGTGATATGTCCTACCCTATGTTAGGAAATATCCTGAGCTACTACACCACTGTGTGATACTGATTAAACTAGCAAATGGTAATTCTGCTTAAAATAGTAGAAATAAATACATTTTTTGTTTTACATATCAGTTCATGATCAGCGCCATGAATAATTTTTGTTCTTCCTTGAACAAGAAAAATTGACAAATTAATTTTTGAAATATGTATTATTACTATATTTAATATATTAATATTTTTTGCATAAAGAGCATGGACTTCTAAAACTTAGTAGTTTTTACAGTACTTTGAAGTATTTTGTTAAAGAAATATGGAAAAATTTAGTGTCTTTAAAAGTTTACTTAGTGAAATCTACTCGCTAAAATGTAACAAAACTTTGCGAGTGGTTTTATTTGTCTGAACCTGTGTTCTGATTTAATAAAGTCTTTAGCCAATAAATTTTACCCAGTTTTAGTGAAACTATCTCTTAACTCTTTTGAAAGAGCAGTAGAGCAATAGGGCTAATAACGTTAATGAATTGAATTTTATTAGAGTTGATGTGGTGGCATGTTGCACAAATT